TTTCTTTCTTTCTTTCTTTCTTTCTTTCTTTCTTTCTTTCTTTCTTTCTTTTTCTTTCTTTCTTTCTTCTCTCTCTTTCTCCCCCTACCTTGATTTTTGCTACCAAACTGATGACTATTGGCATGCCAGAGGTAATAACAACAACCACCCATATATTATATTAGGGTAGAACAATGGGGAACAGAAGAAAGGGAGGAATCCTAAAGGTTCTAAAAAAGAACAGCCCCAGTCCCGAACCTGACAAGGGCCCCGTACTCCCTCTTCCCTTCCCTTCCCCTCCCCTCCCCTTCTCTCCTCTTCCTTCCTCCTTCTCATTGGCTGCCAACCGGCCGAGCGTCAAGTTCGGCCGCCGAGCCCACCAATAAGAGGCCGTTACTCGACGGCGGCCTTAAATAAAACAAACAAATAAATAAATAAGGAATATTTTTAAAATGGGGGGAAAATCCCGAGCCTTAAAAGAGGTTTGATGAAGAGCGGCGAGCAGGAGAGAGAGGCGAAGGGCCGTGACGTCACGGGCGGGATCGCAGGAGCCCGAGAGGAGCCGCAGCGGCCGAGCCTTCTTCACCTCCTCCTCCTCCTCTTCCTCGCGTTGCTCCGCCACGCCTCAACTTTCCGAGGAAGTTCAATAACTCCTGGGCGCCGGCGAGAGCAGAGAGAGCGCCCCGGAACCAGGCGATCGGGCGCGGCGGCATTAAGCGGCGGTGCCGGGTTCTCTTTAGCTGGCCGAGCGAAGCCTCCTCCGGAGATCCCCAGCAGCCTCTTCCCGCCGCTTCCCCGGCCGGCGGCTCATCCAGGCGATGCTGGCTGTCCTGCCCGAGCGGCGCGGGCGTCCTGAACAATAAACGGAGCACGTGTGGCCGGCGGAAAGGGAGCGAGCGAGCGACTCTTCGGGGCGGGGGCCAAGCGTGTGGCGCGGCGGATCTGGCGTCTTCCTTCCCGAATCGGTTCCCGGCTGCCCTCGCCCTCCTCCTCCTCCTCCTCCTCCTGGCTGGCTTCGGCGGCTTTTCTCCTGCTGGCTCTCTTTTTTTTTTCCCCTTCTCCCCGTGCGTGCGCCCTGGTGCATGTGCGCGTCTCGTCGTCGTTCTCCCCGTTCTCCCTCCCTCCTTCCCTCCCTCCCTCCTTCCTTCCTTCCCTCCCTCCCCATTTAAATTTTGATCGAAGAGATTCGCTTCGTCCATAATTGATCCGGTTTGGTTGGTGGTTCGCGCTTTAATCGCCGGTCGATCGCCTTAGAGCCAGCCATCGCCTCCCCCCCCCTCCTCCCCACCGCCACCCCAAAAAAAACCCCAGTCCGCGCAAGAGAACGGCGTCGGGAGGGATAAGGGCATGAAGGCGCTTCTTTGAACGGCCACCATGGAAGGATCTAGCACTTCCAGTTTTGGAATAGACACGATTTTGTCTAATCCCAGGTCCGGCAGCCCGGTTATGATGAACGGGGACTTTCGGACGGCTCATGGCGAGGCCAGGGCGGCGGATTTCCTCAACCAGGCCACTCCGTCCCCTTGTTCGGAAATAGACACGGTGGGCACGACTCCTTCCTCGCCTATCTCGGTCACCGCAGAGCACCCCGAGCAGCATTTGGCGCAAGATGGCCTGTCGCCTCAGCATCACCATCTTCACCACGGCCAACATTCAGAGCAGCAACAGCCAAAAAGTTTGCAGCCGTCGCCCCAGCAGCAGCAACAGCAGCAACAACTGGGTTCGTGCAGCTCTGTCCCCAGGACTTCCACCTCTTCTTTTTTAATTAAAGACATTTTGGGAGATAGCAAACCGCTGGCCGCGTGCGCCCCTTACAGCACCAGCGTCTCCTCTCCCCATCCCACCCCCAAACAAGAGAGCAACTCGGCCAACGAAAGTTTCAGGCCGAAACTGGAGCAGGACGACAGCAGAACCAAATTGGACAAACGCGACGATAGCCAGAATGAGCTGAAATGCCACGGTGAGTGGGGGGACGGTTAGGGTCTTCGAAACGGTTGCGAGAGTCCCGGGTTCGAAACGGTTGCGAGGGTTCCATTGTTTACGTTTCGAACCTTCCCGGTTGTTCCTCTGTGCTTTCTAATATCCCCCCCCCTCCCTCTCCCCGGCTTTCAGCAATCGCTTGTTCTGAACGCTCTGAAAACTTCCAGCCAACTTGGAAGGCTGGCTGCGAATTCGCTAAGCCTTCAAGGAAAGGCTCCAGCAACCTCGATAGTATTTAAAAATAAAATTAAGTCCCATAAGAAAGCAATAAACACAACCAGGTTATTTGCAGAAACTCAGGAATCGTAAATGTTTCCCCTCTAATTTTTATTAGGCAATCCATATACATAGATCTATGTATCTATAAATCTATATATATAACTATCATCATATAACCTGAAACTACGTATCCCCCCCTCTTTAAAAAAAAAGTTGATACCAGAACAAAAAGGAGTCTGCAAATGTGCACTTCAACAATACCAAAAAATGCCAGCTGGGATTACTAGAGATTTTAAAATGCAAATGCATATTACAAAATGCGATCTGCATGCATAATTTCTAAACATAGTTCACACAGATTTAGCAACACTTAATTAGCAAGACAGACCTCTTAAAGAATTTATAATAACATGTGTTTTTTTTTAAGCAGGAAAACAAATCAAACGGGTGGGTCCAATCGGGCTCCTTTTCTTTCTTTCTTTCTTTCTTTCTTTCTTTCTTTCTTTCTTTCTTTCTTTCTTTCTTTTTTCTTTCTTTCTCTTCCTACCTTCCTTCCTTCCCTCCTCCCTCGAAATGTTTCTTCCTTTAGAATTAGCATCGTGCAATATTTTATAGCGTTGGTTTTTGTGAGATGCTTTAGAGATAGTTCTAAAATTCAAACGTACATGGTGTGCTCGATTCTGCCACTTCCTGGGGGGGGAAATAAAAGACGCCCTCCCCCCACTACCAAGGGAATCTCTCTTAACTGGAAAGGCGGGTTTTTTTTGGGGGGGGGAAACATGGTGATGAGAGAGGACACATTTCGCTCATCTTACAACCTTCAGCTATTTTGCAATAACTAATAGGACTACTATTCAATTTGCCATTTTAGCCTCAACATATGAGCGTCTAGAACCAGATGCAGAGTTTCGTCTAGGGTTTTTTTTGGTGGTTGTTGTTGTTGGTTAGTTGGTGCACCAACCTCCCCAGTGGGTCAATTAGAGAGATTATTGTTCTCCCTGCAGGGAAGATCAAGGAGAGCCTAGAAAAAGAAAAGAGGGGGGGGGGGAGAGAAGGGGGGGGGAGAGGGGGAGAGGTTGGTGGTAGAAGAGAAAACCTCGTACAAACACAGATGGACTGACATATCGATTTCCTAACATTTCAGCTAAAAAAAAAACACCAAAAAACCCTCCCTCAAATAAGACTCAAAAGATTCCAGACCAAATCCGGTAATATTTCCGCTGTCACCTGGGATTGCGAAATCCGGCTCTCTTTTTTGTACCTGGATGACAAGCACTCCAGGAAAAGTATTCAGGCTGTTGCGATGGCTTGATCGTAACCGTTTCCGATGTGCACTTGGAAATCTGGATTTGGCCCAGGGAGAACGTGAGGAAAGGCGGCAGAGGGGGGAAAAAACATCCCCTCCGGGGCGCGGGGGGGAAAGAGAGGATATTATTAGGAAGCTCCGTGACAGGAGAAGTTATCACTCCAGAGAAATGATGCTATTTTTTTTAGCCCGGAATATTCCCTTCTGCTGTTTTGTTTTGAGGCTGAATCGCAGCTGAGTTCCAGGCTTCTTAATTCATTGCTGTGGTTGTGGTCTTGTACGAAAGTAGGGGAACAAATCAGTTGATTCCTAAGTTGATTTCGAAGGGTCCGTTTGGATGAAGAAGACTCCCACCTGGAGGGGAACCTCCTGTTCAGGCTTAATAAGGTTTTGTGTGCGGGTTTAGTCCCCACCGCCACCCCGCCGCTTTTCTCCTCGGCCCTAACCCCGAGGTTCTTCTGTCTTGTGTCTCCTCAGGGGCAAAAGAAGAAGGGGACCGCGAGATTTCCAGCAGCAGGGACAGCCCCCCTGTGAGGGCAAAGAAACCCCGCAAGGCACGGACAGCCTTCTCCGACCATCAGCTCAACCAACTGGAGAGGAGCTTCGAGAGGCAGAAGTACCTCAGTGTCCAAGACCGCATGGATTTGGCGGCCGCTCTCAATCTGACTGACACCCAGGTCAAGACGTGGTATCAAAACCGGAGGTAGGGGCAGGCCGGTAGGGACAAAAGCTGGGGCTGGGGGGAACGGGCTGCTTTGAAATAGTCCGGGTTCTGGCCCACTTTGGTCCAGAAATGTCTCATTATATCCTGTCTTCCACGCTTGGGTCGTGGTTTTAACCTTGCCATCCTCTTGCCTTGCCTTCCACGCAAAAGGGAATCCCGTGGAGTTCAAAGAGGCCTACTCCCGGATTAAAAAAAAAAGGATAGGAGCGCGACCTCCAAGCAGAGTTCCGAGGGACTTATTTGGGGGGGGGGGGGGCGAGCAGCTCTACGCTTTCCTTTGGAAAGGCGAAGGAAATCTGTCTCCTTAGATATCTACTCGTGGCCTTTCTCCGTCCTTCCGCCTCCCCTTCCTCTCCCCACGCCCACGTTGACCATTTCTTGCGGGCCAAGATTTCAGTCTTGGGGAAAATCCCTAGCAGGTGCATTCTCAGAGCAGGCTTGGTTAGTAGCCGTGGGGTTTCTGTTCGTTTGCTTGCTTTCGTAGCTAGTAGGCAGACACACAAACCTCAGCCAGAACTCTTAGTTAGCCACCATTCATTGAACGGTGCGAGTTCGGGACCCGAGTTAAACGTTCCAAGTTAAGGCGGTGGTACACAGTCATTAGATTGCTTTTCCTGTCGAGGGCAGGTGGAGGAAGTCTAAATAGCACAGGAGGAAAAAAAGAAATAGAGGCGAACAGCGCACCAACAGGGTTCATCTCTCTGTCCCTGCTAGCAAAGCGAAGGCCGAAGCGTGGAAGCAAGGGGACGTTAAACCGGGACGGCGCCACTGGGAAAAGCTAAATAAGTTTCAGGCTCGGTGGGATTCCCTTCTGGAGGCCTCCACCTTCACTCGGCCTGATTTGGCATTTTCGGGCGCTCCGATTTGTAACTCAGTCCTGGGTTTCATTCTCTCATTTCTCCAGTGCATTTGAATCCTGATCTCTGTGATTGGAAAACGAAGCACTGACGTTTGAAACGAAGCATTAGTCGCCAACGTCTGGGGTTATTTTATTCTATTATTTTAAAGGCCGAAACGATGCAGGCGAGCGAGGAAGGCCCCATACGGGCAAAATGTGGTTTTTCTAATTCTTGGCAGAGAAAACACGGGCTGGAAACCTCTGTCCAGTTGTCATCTTTGCTACAATTTTCTGTCTCATTTCATATGGTTGCAGACACCCTAATTCTGTCGGAAAACATTAGCGTCATTTGCAGCCCAACTAAACAGGGAGCTCCACGCTTGTTAATTTGGCTGCGTTTCGTAACGGCCGTGGTTTAACCTCGGTGTGTCGTGCGCCTGCTGAAAATACCCACCAATGCTCACAGCCAGTTAGCGGAGCAGGATTTCCACCCCCCCCACTCAACGGAAGACTAACATGCAGGTTCTGCGTTAGGAAGGAAGGAAGGAAGGAAGGAAGGAAGGAAGGAAGGAAGGAAGGAAGGAAACTGACGTCCGGAAGCCGCGTCTTCGTCCCAGTGTGTTTTGCAATGTAGTCGCACGAGGGAGAGAAAGAGATGATCTGTATCCATTTGCGTTTAGCCTCCTCTTCTTGCATCTGGAGGCCTGTGTCTTCCCCACAGAGGGAAAATTAGTCATCTTCCATTCCCCACCCACCCACCCCAATTCGCCCCATGCCTCAAAGCAACAGGATTCTACAATTCTAAAACGTTCAGGATTGTAGTTCCTAACATCCAAAATCTTCCAGCGATTTCACTTTTTTCCTGCAGGCCATCTTCAGGAAGAGTATAATGAAACTCTCGCAAGGCTGGCTCTTTTTTTTCCCCTTCAAAGTTTGCTTAAATGTTTGCTTGTTTGGATAGTGGAGGCTGTAAAAAAAATAGGCATATGTTCTGAAGTTTTCCAGAGCGGAATGACTTTGTTTCCTTCATTTTCCCCATCCAAGCCATTGACTTTTAAATTAGCTGGCTGGATTGTATGTATTAATCTTTTAGCACAAAACGTTACAACCGGCGGGGGGGGGTATTTTTCTTCCTCTGTTATTAATATTAGAGAGTAACGTGATTATAAAAAAAGAGGTTTGATGAGGCCATAGACAACAATGTAAATTACAGGTTTGAAAGGAGAATGAATCGTGGATCGTTTTATCAGCTGTCGTTGTCACTTAACAGGCCGGCAAGATTTAAGTTTGGCTCGCCTTTTGTAGTGGTGTTTGTGTGTGTGTGTGTGTGTTTGGCTAGCAAATGTTTTCCAGGATTTTTCAACTGACAGTTCGTTCTGATTCCTCGCGTGTCCCTCTTGCGCCCGCCGATCTCTCCCCCCAGCCATAATAGTATTCTGCTTTAAGACCTTACCAGCCGTGCAGTAATTTGGCTGCAGCTGCGCTTCCTTAACGGAAAGGCCTGAAACGCAAGAGATTCAGGCAAGGCACTCTCTCTTCTGCCCGAGTCTGCCCGTGGAGGACTTGTGTCGGGAGGGAGGGAGGGAGGGAGGGGTGGTCAGCCCGATTCTCGCTCCTTCCCCCCTAACCTCCCCCTCTTCGGGCCCAGCCGACGGTGTCTCCGTTCCGTCTCTTGCAGAACCAAGTGGAAGCGGCAGACGGCGGTGGGGCTGGAGTTGCTGGCCGAAGCTGGGAACTACTCGGCTCTACAGCGGATGTTCCCGTCGCCTTATTTCTACCACCCGAGCCTCCTGGGGAGCATGGACAGCACCACGGCGGCTGCGGCGGCCGCGGCCATGTACAGTAGCATGTACCGGACTCCGCCTGCGCCTCACCCTCAACTCCAGCGGCCTCTGGTGCCCCGGGTTCTGATCCACGGCCTCGGGCCGGGGGGGCAGCCGGCCCTCAACCCCTTGTCCAACCCCCTTCCAGGGACCCCTCACCCGCGGTGAAGAAAACCACTGGGCGTCTCCCTCACCCCCGGCTCCCCCTCCTCAACCCCGCCGACAGATTTCCCCCTCACTCCCCCCAGCAGCCAATCAAGCAAGAAAGGAGCCGAGGCGAGCGAGGGGGCGGGAAATCAAGCGGTCCTTCTAACCGAGCCGGAGGAGCGACCGGCTCAGAGCGCAGAGACTCTGGACCCCCGTAAGTGTGACACGAAGCACCGAATCCCGCAGCAACCCCCGCCGCTTTGCCGCAGGAGGCGGAAGGGGGGGTTCAGGAGGCTGGGGGTGGTGGCCGGGAAAAGCCGGAGTGCCAGGCAGGACTCTTGAGGGACACAAAGAGGGAAAGGATGCCTCCCCCACCGCGGCCCAGAAGGCAGAAGACTGGGGGGAGAGCGGAGAAGTTTGCACCGAATTCTCACGAACTTTTTTTCTGTCTCCGAACTAGCATTTTCCGGATCTCTCTCGTCATTGGTATATATATGCTACATACACATTTTGAACAGGCTGGTGTGTGAGAAGTGATATATATTATTTATTATACGTTGTCCAAAAAGAAAGAAAAGAAAAAGACTTATATTCATTCGTTTTTAAGAAAAAAAAATCTAAGAAGCAAACGAACTCCACAAAAATATTTTCCCCCTCTCCTTTTCCTTTTTTTATTTTTGCTTTTGCTTTTTTTGTTTTGTTTTGGTTCAGTAAAATAAATGCTTAGATGACAACAAGAGTTAACTATATATATATATATATATATATATATATATATATATATATATATATATATATATATAT